TTGTGGTTCATGATATTCATCATTATCTTGAATTTGTGATTCCGAATTATTGGGTAACGTCCTGCTAGTACCTGCTCCAACAATTGCAGGCTTCTTTTTTGCAGGGTTAAGAACTCTCGAGACATTCCTTTTTCGAGAGCAAGCTCCTACTAATGGGCTGCTACCAATCCAATTTTTTGCTGGAGTTCGAATCCTCTTATTCTTCTTTTTTTCTTCAGCCATGGTGTCTCTTGGGATGGTGATTTGCACTGAGTCAAATTCAGTAGGCTCTATAACTCTTGATGAGGCCGGAATACGATTTTCCTCTAGGGCTTGTTCATGCCCAGTCTCATATTGGTATACAATGTCTTGAAGATGACTCAAATCCACGCTTGTAGCTTCCCCAAGCCTTTGAAAGACTGGAGTCCTCGGCTGGGAGATCCATTCCAAGGCAGGTCTCCTTGATCGTGGAGTAGTTTCCTCCTCTGCAATAGCTGGGAGTCCTGTTAGAGAAACAGGATCCCTTTGCGGGTTTGGTGGAGGAGTATGACTAGTTCTTGAGAGAGAATGAGAGTTAAACTGCCCAACTGTGTTTATGACTGAATTATTTCTTTGGTCACTCCCTGAGAAACCGAGTTCTCGGGGTTGGATTCTACTAGGAGTAGCAGAGTGGGAGCTTAGAATCGAAGTATGTGTGATCGGTCTATAAAAGGAACCTCCCCTTCTATGTTCCTCTCTGTTTCCTCAGTACTGATTTCAATCCAGCTCCTTGCCGTGAGTTTTTCCAACAGAATGGCCTTTGTTTCCATTAGAGGCCTTACCAAAAGAGATACGAGATGGGGATCTGCGAGAGTCCCTTCTCGTTATGGGAGCTCCTTTGTGGCCGTAGTAGGGGAGGGAATCCATATGTCTTCTCTCATAGGCCTATCTTTTCTCTATTTCCATACAGTTTAAAACCTTCCTTCGGTTGATTCCCAGGGACTTATATACGTATTATTCTGACAATCGAGAAGCCTGGTTTGTCTGTCTCTTCTTTTGGGTCCCTTACCCATGTCTTAGTGAGATGACAGTCTTTCTCATCATGAGATAAAGAGAAGCATGAGAAACAATGCTTTTCCAGGTTTTCATATTCAAATTCCATTGATTTGATCTCTCCGTTTGGTAATCTGATTTCCATATTCATCACTAGGGGTTCCAAGCCGTTGATTTGTACCCTAACCCTGTCTTGGGCATCATCTCGACCTCTGATGAGGCCAAAATCTTCCCCTATAGTATTGATGGCTCGATCCGACGAGCAATGTAGAGGTAAACCGCAAATCTTTATCCAGAAGGTGATTTGATACGGGAATGTTGGTGAGATTATAGGTTCCCACTGTTGGAGAACGAGCATCCACTTCTTGAAATGGTAGGGACCTTTCCTCATAACTGATTCGAGAGCTTCCTCCGAGTCAAACCTGAATTGAAAGGTTTCGGGTCCAAGTTCCCGGCCAACCACTCTGCAATCTACATTCCACAGCTGTGGGAGATAGTCTATGATAGTCCTCAGATGTTGTATAAGGGGGTTAGTTACACGCCCCACAATTGACAGCAAGTTGTCCTTAATGAGGCATAAGTTGTCTCCCTCCGGGATGCGGAGAGAGGAACATCTTCTCGGTCTAGAGCTAGATGGGATCCATTTTCCTTTTTCCTCTCTGGAGTGACAATGAGACATTTGTAAACCGGTAAAAGAAACAGATCTGGTTGTAGTAGAGAGCGTAACGTCAGCTACCGTAAACAGTGAAAGGCTCGAGAGTCGAGTAAAATCTTGAAAATTTCTAATACCGAGGAGTTGATGAAACTCTAGAACAGAGTAATATGAGGACTCTCTAGTGTAGAGTAGTATGTAACAAGAAGAGGAGAAAGAAAAATCTGCATTTCGTAGTACTGTTGGGATTTTGGTCGGAGAGACCAGCGCTTCTATGTATGTCTACCCGAAGAGCATTTGACCCCAATCCCGAGTCTAGATGGAAATCTGAGACCGTACAAGCCTTCCGGTGAACATTACGGTTACAAATGGCTCAAAGGAGCCATGAGCTAGAGAGAGATGTGGCCAGAGCTCCAATAAAGGGTATAGCTTAGGGAAAGAAAGTTTGGTAAAGTTGCATGGTGAAAAGGTTTTTTTGAAAAATTACCAAACCCAGTAACGTCCCATTGGGTAACGTTGACAAGACTAAAAAATACTTCGGTTATAAACTATTCTCGAAAAGGTCGCCTGAGAGCGTTTTGGTATAACATTGATTCAGGAGGCTAGTAGTACCAATTCGGTGTAACTTTTTAGATTGATGGATTTGAATTGTAAAAATAAAAATTTGGGTATATTCAACATAAATTTTGGGATGCATTGTATGTCATATATAGAGCTGTCAATTAGGCCTACTGCCCATGGGTGTGGCCCAGTCCGCTTTCTTGTGGACTGATATGGTTGTACAGTTTTAAGCGCATTACAAATTAGTCTAGTTGGATCACGACCATATGGTCCGCGGACAATATGGGTTTGGGCCGCAAAAGTTGCGGACAGCCAAACTTCTTCTTCTTCCACGATTAGTTTTCTCTTAGCTTCGATTAAGGTTTAAATCTCTTTTCCTCAGCTCCTTGTTATCAGTTTATCCCCTACCTACACCGTAGTCTCTCTTCTCTCACGGCGTTCCTCTCTTGCTTCCATCCGGTAAACTTCGCTTCCTCTTTTACTGTTTCCGTTTTCCTCTTTTGTTCCGATAGTTTTCAGCGATCTTTTAATTTCAAGTTCTGGGCTAGTTTTTAAGCACATTTCATAGAGATCGAAGCTCCTTCGAGTTCTATTAAGTTGAGTATTTGAAGTAGCTAGTTAAGGCTTTGGGAAACCCTATAGACTATAGTTGAATCGAATCCCTAGAGAGGTTGATTTGCATACTCTGGAGTTGATTTCAATGATGAGATGTTGAGAGTTTTGGATGGTTTTGCATCTGGGTTTTGTTTATTATTGCAAACAATGATGATTTTGGAATTCAATTGTTTGAGAGAGTTAGATCGTGGAAGAACCGTTTTTACTTTACTCTTGAACCTTTATGATCTCTTAAACCTCTATGATCTCTTAAACTATCATTAGCTTTGAACTTGTGTGTCTTCTGATTATGTTAAGGTTGCTCTTGTTAGTTACTGACTTTGTTTACGTTTGACTTTGGCCCATATATGATACTTCTAGTTTGGTGCTTTTCTTTCCTTTTTTGAACTTGTGTGTTTGAACATATAATCTAAACCAATTCTCAAATATAAACCATATCAACCAATGTTCATATAATTTAACCCAATGCACAAATATAGTATTTGAGAACGTAAGATAGATTTATACAAACTGTGGCAATAAAATCCCTAGTAAAGGAGAGAAAGAGATGATATCCAATGTCTGGAAGTTGGGCAAACTTGGGCGGTCCATGTCTACAAAATATTGTCTTATGTCTAAGTAGACTAAGACCATCTTCGTCCGCCGACCATATGGACTAGACCATATGTATTTCGTAAAACAATTTCTCCGCGCAGGCAAGCCCAATTGACAGTTCTAGTCATATTACTGTAAGAAGTTCAAGGTTCAAGGTTCATAAGAACGTGTCTACTTGCTAAGTACATTTACTCTTTTTTTTTTTTATGTTACTGAAAATCACAATAAACCCTTGATTAGTTTATAACCATTAGATGCCTCTTCTGCTAATGGTAACAATTATTTTTCTGTTTGTTGTGTTTTATATTATACTCGAGATGTAATGAGCGAATACTAAGGTTGCATAGTCTAAAGCAAATAAAAAATTAAGTGCATCTAGGATTATACTTTTCATGCACCAAAAAATTAGTTTCATGCATCCCTTTGCTATTAAAATCAAAGTGCTATTATTTAATTAGCTTAAGTGTCCCTTTAATTTAATTGGTTTGAAATTATAACATGTCTTTGAAAAAATATGACATATCTTTTGAAAAATGATGACATGTATTAAACTAATTAAATAAATTATTACTTAATTGAATTATTGTTATTTTTAAATACAAAACTTTACTTGATTTTTGATTCATAGCAAAATAAATTAAAAAATCAGCAAAAATCTAAATATATCATTTAATTATATCTTTTATTTGTTTCCGGATTTTTAGTAACTAAATAATTCACTAATTAACATATTAAATTTTTAAAACGGCAATTAGATATTTACCTCTCATTTCATTTTTATCGATATTAACTCACTTTAATAGCAGAACAATTAATTAAAGTACTTTTTAAAATTTTAATAAACACTAAAACACCATAATTTCAACAAAAATAGTCTCCAGAATTTAGTATTTCGTACTCTATTAAACTATCTATACTTTTCACGTGTAAATATGCCCTAAATATATACTGAAATTTTAATGTTACATTTTAATATTTTTTGCATGGTGAAATCGTGATTTATATTTCTATTTACATTTTAATATTTTAATGTTACTTTTCAGTTGTGAAATTAATTTAAAATATTTTTTTGTATAATAACTAGGAACGAACCAAACTTATTAACACTGGTTTTATCATATTATAAACAAGTTTCTCGAATTTTAGTGATGGTATCTCATGAAAACTTGTGATCGAGTTTCTCGTTAATTTAGCATCCACTATTTTTTTTTTTTATCACTAACAAATTTTCATTGATTTGTTACTCTCCAATAATGGAGAAATTATTTACAAGACATGAAAATATAACCTTCAAAGCCAATACACACGTTGCTACAAAAGCAAACGTTACAACATAAAATAGATAGATAGATGCAAGCCAAATGCTTAAGCAACAAAAGTCGTGGAGGAGCTCGACGCCAATGTTGTTAGGAGGTGAGACGATGCCTTGCGAAGCAAAGAACACACTGGATGTTCTAATGCTCGAGATTGGAAATGCAACTAGGACAGTCCTACCAATCGTGATTTCGGCTACAAACGCAGAGGTACAATGACTTGCTGAACCGTTGAAACGGATGGGAATAGAAACATTTGTAAGCTTCGAGACCCCGCTTCCTCCAACGAGACCACTCAAGAAATGGAGCCATTGGAAAACAAACACTCTCCTTAACGGAGGAATCAAGACAATATATGCTTAGAAGAACCAAATTTGCTGGAAAAATGGCAGTATCCAAAACATTCCTTTCAATGTGCCACAAAGAAAGGGAAGATATTTTCATAACACCAAAAGTCATAGAACAAAACCTGGGTATAGTAGTAAGGGGTCGCATAAAAGCAAAATCCTCAATACGAGGTAAGGTAACATCACACTAATTGTGATGAGAGACAATCACCAACAAAGACACAAACAACAATTCGTATGAAGATTGTAACTCTAGTCCAAATCGAATACAATTGTTGTCCGAGCAATTAGCAATGAGTAATACAGTGTCTGAGCATCCACTATTAATTTAATAAACGATGATTGCTTCCCTAGTAATTCTATATTTTTTGGCATATATAAATTGGAAAAATTGTTACCATGGTCTATAAGACAAGTTCAAACCTTTTGAGATATGATTTGACCCATTTTAAAGAAGAAGAAAAAGAAGAAGTCGGATAAGATAGTAAAGACAAAAACTATGAAAATATAGAAAAGAACAATTGGAAGAAGAGCAAAAGAGAGAGAAAAATTAAACAAAGAACAAGAAAAACGTAGATAATTACTACAACTAACATATTTTATTTAAATGTCAAAAATATATATATATAACGAATGATAAAAAGGAATATATTATTATTTTTATTGACGGAGTTCACAAATTCTTCATATATGCGCATGGTGCATGTAAATCACCTAAAAACAAGAAGAAATAATCATTTTGTTTGGTTTCATCATGAATCAATATATCTAGTTTCAGTTTGGAGTTTATACTGTTAGAAGTTGATGAAGAAGATAGAGAGAGAAGACTCACATGGACGATATCAAAGCTCTAAATTAAAAATTATGTTTTTCCTGAATTTAATTAAAAAACCAAAAATTTAAGTACACATAACTAGTCAATATTCAAATACTCAAATATCGTTCCATATATATATATATATGTTTGAAGCAATCATGTTTCCGCTAAAACTTGAATTCATAGAAAATACAAAACTCTCTTTGTTTATGGGCTTTGTTTCCAAAAATTCAAATAACCCTCGACATCTAATGAAATGGTGGTTCCTATGGACCTAACGTCTTTACAAACTAAAATTAAAAATTTCAAGTGAGTTTTTGAAATTTTATTCATGCTTCAGTTTTATTCAAATATATACTATTTTTTTTTTTGCATATCCAAAGAATCGGATATTGATAATTACATATGTAAAAGATTTGAAGGCTCTATTTTGTGAATAAATAGAAGGAAGAAAGATAAAAAAAAATATGAAAGAATAAGACAAAGACAATGACGAAAATGGTGAATAAATTGGACAACTAAATTTGGAAAAATAAGGAAGACAAACCGAAGACAAAGACAAAACTGGAAAAAAAAGTTGGAGAACAATGAAAAGAATGAAATTTAAAAAAAAAAATCTAGCAATTTTAACTGCAAATAAGAATTACAAAGAGAACAGAAAGATAAGTAGAACAACAAGGAAGATAAACAAAGGAGGACAAAAAAAGAAATTGAAGAGAAGCGCACATATGAGGAAGAAGAAAAAAATAGTAGAAAGATAAGCCGGACAAGACAAAAAAGACGAAGATGAAAAAAAAAAAAAGAGAGAAACAAAATCAGAAGAAACAAAAAACCAAAGATATAAAGAAGAAAAAATGAAATATTGAGAAGAAAAAACAAAACAAACATAAATAATTACTATAATTAAATGAGTTTATATAACAGTAAAAACAAAAAATAACTAAGTTTACAAATTCTTCATGTTTGCCATGTTTATTTTGATAATATGTTAAACTATGTTTTTCACTAATAATAAAATTTTACATATTGTTATCCACTATTAATGTTTTAATTCAACACAAATACAAATATTAAAAACGAAAAAGTCTGTAATTTTCACAATCTCACTTAAAGTATTATTGTTATGCATGTTAATTTCCGACATATATATAAACTAACAATCATGCATATTTATTTTCATAAATAATAAATTGTGTTGTATAAATTCAAAAATTAACTTACGTTCTATAATATTTCATACTTGCACACGGTGTAGGCCAATCACTTAGTTTTCACTATAGAAGAAAGCAATATGTATAAATATGTATAGATGAATTCATTATCACTATAACAAAACAAATGACTATCCACAGCCGAAAATATTTCTTATTTTCTTGTTAATCGTAACAGCAAGTTCATGACAATCTAAAATACGTTGCTTATCGCATGCCACAAATTATTTTGTCGTTAATGCGCTGCCAGTTAACAGTGTCTAATTATGTATGTAAGTCGTCGTTATTTAGCAACGCCAAAACCATGTTAATGAATGATGATTTACCTACATTAGAAGATTTTTTCTCCTTCATTGCTGTTATTTGTGCTTCAAAATCCTTTTTCTCCGTATCATTATGATTTCTTTTGTAGCGTCAAACTATTCTTTAGTCAATTGGAACTGCGATTGTAAAGTTGTGATCTCGAGGCTTAGAGTGAACGATGAGAAGGCTGAAATTGAATCCAAACCCATATCTTAGGTTGGACAACCTATAAAATAAAATATATTAGAGTATAACGATATTTGGGGCACATTAATAGATGATTAAAGATGAATTAGTGATATCTAATAATGTTGTTAATAATTTTATTTCATTATTAGATATCTAACCATATTTGAACGACATATAGTTACGATATTATGCGATGTGTGGTATGTCGTTATTTTACAAAAATTACCGATAACTTTTAACCGATGTGACTTTAAAATATCGCTAAAACGATATTATTAATCGTTAATTTTTGTTTTTATTGGATTTGTTTTTTCTACCAAAATAGAGACTTGTTATATATATTTTTCCTTAATTAGTGGACCAC